CCATGCGACATATCCTTTACCTGAAAAGAAGAGGATAAAAGTGAATTCAATGACAAAATCAAATCCACTCTTCCACTGCTAGTCAAGTGAAAGGGCGTGTGAAGGCCTGAGGACAATGTCCCCGACCTAAGCCCTACTCAAATGGCACAATCAACAATAGGGCATTCCTGGTCAATCTCCCTGACATATCTGGGGATAGTTCCCTGGGGACAAAACCCATAATCTCCGAGAGGAAACCACCGGAAAGCTCATAAGCACACCAGAATATGTGGTTCCCTTTGGCGACAAACATTGTCTTATCATTATGATACTAGGATCAGCTAAAATCCTAAAAGTCTGTAAGTTCCTGAAAGTCCTAGTGACGCCGGCAGCAAAGAAAGTGGCAAAACCACCATCTGCCACCAACAACCACCAGAAATCTCCCTAAAACTACTCTGTTGTAACTTTAACTGCATGCAACTAAGGTCGAGAAATCAACGAAATATACAACAAGCAAGGAATTAGTATACTTGCGTGGTCGAGGACAAAGTTTCTGGGTTCAAACGTCTATGGCCAGTGTTGGTACAGTGGTAGGACAAAGCTTGACGGCGGCGGATGGCAAAAAGCACATACATATAGCAAAAGAAGAGAGAGAAGCAAAAAGAGAAAATGAGCATCTTCTCACTCTATTTATAGCAGTCCTTGGCACGTGCGCAAGCAGCACGACTAGGGGCATCATCATGACCCTAGCCTAGCCATCATTGCTCATTAAATGCAGCACACAGCTCGAGGCACACATGGCACTTCCCTCTTCAGATCCCATCAACCGTTGATCTCCTCGTACCTCGAGCTCCTTGAAAAGCAACGTAACAGATGCCCGAACACAGATTCCTCTAGGCACATGGTAATGGTCCCATCTCTGCGCCTAGCAACGACCTTGCCCAGAATGTGGACTATCCTTAAGTCATCACTCCCATGATCGGAAGCAACAACTTAGGGGGCTACTATTCCAGACTGTACTAATGGCTGGGCATGACCCAATCCACTTCTACTCCTAGAACGGTCCAATTGCCTAAGTCCAACCAGTTGGGGAAGCATTTACCTTTTTATCTATCCAATAGGGGAGAATGACTGGTTTATCCCTAGGCCAGCACTTCTCCTCGTCACTCCTTGCCCGTCGCGCACGGTTTCACCACCTAGAAATAGCCAGGATGCTTGTGCCCGTAACTGCGTCTCTGCCCGTAGCAATGGCTAGTTATAGACACTTCTTCCCATTCCAATGGCTAGTTATGGAAATTATATATTCTTTGGAAAATGGTCATCTCGCCCTGAAAATAGGGACCAATGGCCAAGCGCTGGGGGCACTATAAAAACCCTCTCATTTGAGAGGGTCAGGTATCCAATATTCACCCTGATATACACATATTATGTACTTGCTTTCTCTCCCCCGATTCTTACTTTAGCATCAGAGTGCCTTACAGGTACGCCCCTCCTTCTCTTTCCCACCCAGCATCACAGACGATTGTCTCTGGCCCACTTCAGGTTTTGATCAGACGTCAAGATCAGAAACAACAACACTAATCGCAACAAAAACAATGCCAACCCCTCCGGTTGGTCAAGTTTCAAGGCAACAACCACCTCCTCGGAGAATTAAACCTAGTAGCTCACAAATCACCTTCTATAATAATGAGAAACTATGACATGTAGAACGCAAGTGTAGAAACATGCCAAAATTTTCTCCATAGGCCAATATAACTGAAGAAGATAAAGTTATTGCAATGATAATTAGTATCAAACTTGTAGTTGGAATATATGGATGATGGATAGACTTATTGTCACTTCCCTCCATGTCTATTAAGATTGTGTTATGTCTAAACATACACAACTCTTGATAATAATGAAATAATGTTTAAAGATGCTCACTTTTGAAAAGATTTTGATCCTCAAAGATGTTATGCATACTCTACAGAGTATGAATAATATTGTTTTTGGGTTTCTCTTGAATAAGGTTGGATTTACTTAGGCTATAAATGGAGGTTTAAACATCACTATTAAAAAAATGTATTTTTATTGGGAAAGGGTACACCAGTGACGACATTGTTTAAACTAAATGCTAACATGACTAAAATTGTAGATTCAATTTATATGATTTGTGATATTAATACTTGGCGTGATAGACTCTTTCATGTAAATCAACGAATAATATAGAACTTGAGTAGTTTATGATGAATTTCAAAATTAACTATTAAGAAAATAGAAAAATGTGATTTTTGTAGTCTAGGTAAAATAACAAAAAGCTAACATAAATCAGTCGTTAGAGAATATAAGCTCTTAGATTTATTATATTGTGATATATGCAAGCTCAATGGAACTTTAACCAAAAATGAAAAATATTACTCACTCCATCCTATAATGAGTGAACCATTTGTTATATTGATACCTGTCGAAGAACCTTACCATCAAGGCTCAACAATATTGTGTTGTGGGCTTTCTCAATCATGGCCGTCTTTTCTTTTGCCGTTAATGCAGCTTCCATGACTGCCTCTTCCTTCACGCTTCCAAACAACCTTGTTGAACCAGTAGGGTTTTCATCTTCAAGCGCCACAGACCAAAGTCGTTCACTCCGATGAACTTTTCAATTTCATACTTTGTTGAAGGCATCTTCTCCATGCTCACCGCACCAATTTTTTGTGAATAGAATGCCTTGAAACAAAATATAAACGATTTCTTTATATTCAAGAAACACACAAGGGTTAGGATTAACACAAAAAACAAGTAAGAAGAACAAGAAGAAACACCAAGGATTAGTTATAAACTGATATTCTTTCCTTTCTCTATCAAATAAGATTACAAGTATACAAGAATTAAAAAATAACCTCTCTCTCTTGAATTAGGATTTTATCTTCCTATTTTTCCTTATAAAAGATGAGAGACTAGCATGCTATTTATAAGAAAAATAACACACTAACCTAATGGGGTTTTTAACAATTACCCATTACAAGCTAACTTAGGGTACAAGCTAACTTAAACAATTGGTCTTACAAGTAAGGCCCAATTCAACATGCTAACAAACCTAGCAATATTGACTGATGCATGTTAGAATAAACTTTGACTACAACACGGATTACTCCGACAACATACTAGAGTTCGATCCAATATATCACAAAATCTATAATTAATAAATTTAAATATGAGTTAACACAATAACCACAAAGTACTATCATAGTATGAGTTAGTTATGAAATTAAAATCTATAGCTAATTTTATTAATATGCTTTCTTATCCAAAAAAAAACTATTTTAAATAATGAGATAGGAGCATGATTTTTGCATATCTATAAATATGAGACATTACTCTTGAAATCTTATTTCAATCTTCATTTGTTTCTCAAACAAAAAAATACACACCAAACTACACAACAACCATGAATTGGGTTCGTAGTGACTCATTAGGTAATGGAAGCTTCACCACCCCCAACTTAGCCAAACACGCTAAACCCTTTGTTAACATTCCCTTTCTCACCCCCGTCAAATCATGCAAACTTTCCTGTTCTTTTTCTCTCCAAGACGAGAAAAATATACTGGAACATTTAACCACACATTATCAAATACTTTGGCTAGGATCAAACTGTTGAAAATGGGGAAGAGTATTACAATATTTTCTTAGAATATGCAAACAGCAGAACTCTCAATGATCAACTCAAGAATCATGGCGGTAAGCTCCCCGAAAAACTCGTTCATCGTTACACAAGGTCTGTGGTTGAAGGTCTCAAGTATATTCATGAAAACGATTTTGTTCATTGTGACTTGAAACTACTAAACATCCATGTATTTGAGAATGACAATGTAAAGATATCGAATTTCGGTCTTGCAATTTTTTTTAATTATATTAAATAACTAATCTTCATAGATAATATATAGACTAACTATATTGTTTATTCAATACATTTAAAAATATTTTTTTATAAATAAAATAAGTATATTATGAAATAGATTGGATTGTTCGGCCAACTTTAGCTGCAAAAAAGGAAGCTTACATCTTTCTTAACCATGTTGCATATTTAGTGAAGCTATAATTTTAAGATTTTAATAGAATTATAATAAATAGTTAAAAGCATGTGCTAAACATGACATAACATATGAAATAGAAATCTATCATTTTAATGTATACTTTCATTGAATACATGTAATCCTCTAATATAGTTGGTTTGTAACAGTGACACATGCGATGAAGGTATTCTAATTTGATGGAACAAAACACCAATCATCAGATTCTAAAAAATCTAACGATTTTTTTAGCAATCGTTACTAGTTGTCTAAGATTCTTTTCTTGTGATAAATAACACCAATCATCATATTCTAACAAATCTAACAATTTCTCAATGGTGGTGACTAGTGGTAGAAGCTTATGTTTGGGCGAACAATCTAGTATCTTTGCATCATGAGCTAGTTGTCTAAGATTCAAATTCTTTTCTTGTGATAAAAAACAATACTCAACTACTGTTAAATTACAAGGAAATGATGTAACAGTAGAAGAACTCTAATTTAAAAAGTCAAAGTGAGTAGTTAGAGAAGCTGACTAAAATGTTGACTCCTTAATCAAAGAAACAGTTTCATCATCCGAGATAAAAGGGTGTTTCAAAAGCATCTCGACACTTCATCTTTTCAGTGGATCCCTAACAAAACATTTTTCAAGAAAATATTTTGCTTCTTATGATATTTCTTTTGGAATCTATGGTACTTCTTCTCCAACTTCAATTCAAACTAACAACATCCACGAGTCCCTGTTGTAGCTCATGTCCCATGCAGGTCCTCCGATAAGAATCTCCAAAACAGTGCAACTGAGAGGCCAAATATCTACTAGAGATTCATACATATTGTCCACCATAGATTCTGGTGACATAAACATTGGAGTTCCTTTGTATCACATATTTTTATCTTCTTCCACTCCTATTTCTTTTACAAGACTGAAATCTGATATCTTTACATTGGCGTTCTCGAATATGAGAATGTATGATTGTTTCAAGTCGCAATGAACAAAACCATTTTCATGAATATACTTGAGACCTTTAACCATGAACCTTGTGTAATGACGAATGAGTTTTTTGGGAGCTTACCGTCGTGATTCTTGAGCTGATCATTGAGAGTTCCACCGTTTGCATATTCTAAGAAAATATTGTAATACTCTTCCCTATTTTTAACAGTTTGATCATGACCAGAGTATTTGATAACGTGTGGGCATGATCCTAAACGTTCCACTATATTTTTCTTGTTTTGGAGAGAAAAAGAGCAGGAAAGTTCGTATGATTTGACGACAGTGAGAGAGGGGATGTTAACGGAGGGTTTAGTGTGTTTGGGTAAGTTGATGGTGGTGAACCTTCCACTACCTAGTGAGTCACCACGAACCAAATTCATGGATGATGTGTAGTTTAGTGTGTATTCTATTGTTTGAGAAATAAATAAAGTTTGAAATAAGGTTTCAAGAGTAATGTCTCATATTTATAGATATGTGAAAATCGTGCTCCTATTTCATTATTTAGAATAATTTTTTTATTGAATAAAAAAGCATTAATAAAACCAGCTATTGGTTTTAATTTCATAACTAACTCATACTATGATAGTACTTTGTGGTCGTTGCGTTGACTCGTATTTAAATTTATTAACAGTAGATTTAAATTTAAGTCTTCCTTGAATGAGTTTCTTCATTTTAGGTTAAGTCATATTTAAATTTATTAACTATAGATTTAAATGATTTAAAAAATGACTTAATACCACCACATCTTCCTCGTCAAAAATTGTCGATATTATCTTCTCTTTTCCTCTTTCCATTAAATCTATTTGCTTTCCTTGATTTAAGTTAAGTTATGCTTTGAAAAAATGCTTAAAGTTTTTATGTTTGAAAGTTGTTGTCTTTGTTTGGGAGTTGAGTTTGAAACTCTTGGAAGAGAGAATGCGAGTGACGAAGTAAGAGAGATGTGAGAGGGATGGGGCACCGCCGCTACCACTAGCTGGTCGGCCGCCCCCTGCTCTTAAGAACATGGCGAGAGAATAAGGTTGGTAGAAGTTTGTTTTGCTACTTTTACTTTTTCAGAAAACCTGTCTTTGCAACTAGAGATGAGACTTTCATGTTGTGTTACTTTTTTTGTTTTAATCTATACCAGTTGTCGAAATTTTAATGGGTGTACTTAAATTTATAAAAAAAAAAAAAAGAAAAAGAAAAGAGGAGGCCACAATCAGCATGCAACGCCCCCCTCCCCCTTACAATTTGTCCTTTTTAATGGGTTTATGCCGATAATGGGTTGAAGAAAGCAAGTAAAACATAGATTAATGTAAGTTGTTTTCTAACATAACCTAATTTTTCATATTATTAATTTCTAGTTCAATTTGAAAGGTTATATATTAAATTAGGGGTTGTTAAACACTCAAACCACATACGATATAATAAACTCATCTTCTAAAACACGTTGAATGAACAACATGATAGCTATAATGCCAAAGTAATAACATTATCAATATCATTAACAATAACATGCCTTAAACAACATACAACTTTTATCAACCACATAGAATTTTTATCATTAACAACATACTTTAAACACATACAACATAGCTCAATAAAAATAAAATCATAAACTACGTATAACTTTTATCAACAACAACACACCTTAAACAACATGGAACTTTTATAAACAAAAATAAAATCATCAACAACATAAATTTTATCAATAACAATATACTTTAAATAACATAGAACTTTTATCAACAAAAATAAAATCATCAATAACATATAACTTTTATCAACAATAACATACTTTAAACAACATACAACATAGCTAAAAAAAACAAAATCATCAACAACATTATATCTTAAACAACATAGAACTTTTATCAACAAAAATAAAATTATCAACAACATATAACTTTTACCAACAACAACATACAACATAGCTTAACAAAAACAAAATCATCAACAATACATAACTTTTATCAACAATAACAACATACCTTAAACAAAATTGAACTTTTATCAACAAAAGTAGAATTGTCAAAAACATAAATCAAGTAAAATGTTAACATATCCCAACAAAAATATCAAAAATATCACAACTCATAACAAAAAAAGGTGAAAACATCTACGTACCATGAAGTGTGAAGAAGAATTGAAAGAACTGAGTTTTGTGTAACACCTTTCCTTGACCCATAAGAGTTGAATAAGATATTTTGGAGTTTTGTGAAGAAGCGATATGCAACCATTCGTGGAGTAAGTATAAGGCGTGAAAGAGTGTTAGGGTTTTGTTAAGATAGAGACGATTGTTCTGTCCCCAAAGAGCGAACTCTCGCTTAAATATAAGTTATACTTTTCACCATGATTGTTAAAAACGATCGTGATTAAATGTAGGTATATTTTACAACTGTTGCTATTATAGGCTGTGGAGAAAGGAATTTTAATTTTAATATAAATATTAAAATTATAAGTGACATGCTCATTTTTTAACCAAAAAAAGGAAAATTGTTGGTGCTGGGATTCGAAGCTTGTAAGCCTTAACATATCACTACGGTCATTAATATGGATCGTAGTGAAATGTCTTTTAATAAAATAAATTAAAATGAAGACGCCTAAATAAGAACTATTACTTCAGTTGGCTTAATAGTCGAGATAATAACATGTTACGTTATGCGCATTTTATAGTAGTGAAGTGTTTGTATAGTTGAGGAAGTCTCTTTGTAGTGTGCTAAAATTTTGTGAATGGAGGGAGAAATATCATTAATTAATATTATATGTAGTTGTACTAGCTTAGTTAAGGCCAAGCCAGGCTTATGATTTGATATCAATCCTATTTATTATATAGTTTGATACCTAAAATGAAGAAGCCCCTTCAAGAAAGACCTAAATTTAAATTTTCATTAATAAATTAAAATATAAGTTAACGCAACAACCACAAAGTACTATCTTAGTAAGAATTAGTTATGAAATTAAAATCTATAACTGATTTTATTAATATGTTTTCTTATCCAATAAAAAACTATTTTAAATAATGAGATAGAAGCATGATTTTTGCATATCTATAATTACGAGACATTACTCTTGAAACCTTATTTCAAACTTCATTTATTTATCAAACAACATAATACATACCAAACTACACAACAACCAAGAATTGGGTTGGAAGCTTCGCCACCGCCAACTTAGCCAAACACACTAAACCCTTCGTTAACATTCCCTCTCTCACCTTCGTCAAATCATGCAAACTTTTATGTTCTTTTTCTCTCCAACACGAGAAAATTATACTAGAACATTTAGGATCATGCCCACACAATATCAAATACTTTGGTTAGGATCAAAGTGTTGAAAACATGGAAGAGTATTAGATTATTTTCATAGAATATGAAAACGACGAAACTCTCAATGCTCAACCCAAGAATCACGGTGATAAGCTCCCCGAAAAACGCGTTCTTCGTTACACATGGTCTCTGGTTGAAGGTCTCAAGTATATTCATGAAAACGGTTTTGTTCATTGCGACTTGAAACCATTAAACATCCTCGTATTCAAGAACGACAACATAAAGATATCAGATTTCGGTCTTGCAAAAGTTTTTTAATTATATTAAATAACTAATCTACTTAGATAATATATAGACTAAATATAATGTTTATTCAATATATTTAAAAATAATATTTTTATAAATAAAATAAGTATATTATAAAATACACTGGATAATTCTGCCAACTTCAGCGACAAAAAGGAAGTTTGCATCTTTCTTAACCATGTTGCATATTTAGTGAAGCTATATTGTGAATATTTTAAAATTTCAATAGAATTATAATAAATAGTTAAAAGCCTATGCTAAACATAACATAAAATAGGAAATATAAATATGTTGTTTTAATGTATACTTTCGTTGAATACATTTAATCCTCTAATACAGTTGGTTTGTAACAGTGTTACATGCGATATGAAGGTATTCTAATTTGATGGAACAAAACATTAATCATCATATTCTAACAAATCTAACAATTTTTCAACCGTGATTACTAGTTGTCTAAGACTTTTTTCTTGTGATAAATAACCCCAATAATCATATTCTAACAAATCTAACGATATCTCAATGGTGGTGACTAATGTTTTTGTCTTTTTCAACTCCCATCTATTTTGCAAGACCAAAATCAGATATCTTTATATTGTCTTTCTCAAATACGGGAAAGTTTGGTGGTTTTAAGTCGCAATGAACAAAATCATTTTCATGAATATACTGGACACCTTCAACCATAGACCTTGTGTAACGATGAACGAGTTTTTTGGGGAGCTTACCGCCATGATTCTTGAGCTTATCATTGAGAGTTCTGCCGTTTGCATATTCTAAGAAAATATTGTAATACTATTCCTCGTTTCCAACAGTTTGATTCTGACCAAAGTATTTGATAATGTGTGGGTATCATCCTAAATGTTCAAGTATATTTTCTGCAATTAGAGATGAGCTTTTCATATTGTGTTACTTTTTTTTTTTGTTTTAATTCATGCCACTTGTATTCATTTTAATGGATTTACTTAAATTTTAAAAGAAAAAAAAAAGAAGAAAAAGAGAGAGAGGATGCCACAACATGCAGCGCCACTCTCCCCCACTTACAATTTATCCTTTTTATTTTATTTTTCTCTTTCTTTTTAATTTACCTATTAATAATAATAATAATAATAATAATAATAATAATAATAATAATAATAATAATAATAATAATAATAATAATAATAATAATAATAATAATAATAATAATAATAATAATAATAATAATAATTATTATTATTATTATTATTATTATTATTATTATTATTATTATTATTATTATTATTGTAATTAGGGTTTTAGTGTCTTTTAGACTTGGGCCCAAACTATTCTTGATATTTGCACACTGGTCGAATCATTTCTACACTCCCTTTTTTATTTTATTTTCTACTTTTCTTGATTAGTTAATTTATTTAGATTGGTAATTAATTGATTGATTAAATGTCTATTTGATTAGTTGATTACATTCCATAATTGTTTCTTTTAATTACTAAGTGGATTGTTTGATTATTTGTTTAGTCGATTTCAATATACTTAATCGATTAATTAGATATTATCTCTCCCATGTTCATTCTTGGTCCACTATTTATTTTCTTTTGTTTTTTTATGATTGTTTAATTTTAATATTATATGTGATTCGGCTAACTCTATTAAGGCCAAGCTAGACTTTTTGTTTGGTATCAATCCTATTTATTTGACATTAGAAACTTTAAATTGTAAAAAAAAAATTAATTTAAAATTAAAATTGGCATGCCATCCCTTTATTTTATAATGTTTGAGCAAGTTAAAACTAAAATTAGAGTTTGTGAGATAGTGTGTCACCTCTCTTAAATTTTTCTCCTATTTAGCTTGAT